GCCCACCGGGGTGCCGGGGGGGTTGCGGTTCTCCGGGGTTCCTGCCCCGTGGCTCAGCCTGCTTCGGGCGCGATCGCGGGGCCGGCTTCGGAAAACGGGAGTTAGAGGAGCTGGGGCTGTGTTGGAGCGCTCACTTTCCCTTAAAAAGAAAGAAAAGAAGGGCCGGGTGTTGTTTTCTCGGCGAGCGCGTCCGTTTCCTCCGAGCGCGCCGAGGGCCGGCAGTTGGCTCCTGCACTTGCCCGCCTGCCGAATTAGAGCAACCGCCTGTTTCTGTCGCCCACGCAGGGAGTCATATAGCCCAGAAAAAACTTCCCGGGACTTTTAGCCTGTCCCAAGGAAAAAAAAAAAATTGGAAACATACCCACATGCAAACAGCTGGAAGAGCTAAAATCAGAAACCACTAGCCGCCGCGGGAGCGCAGCGCACGAGAGGGTTTAGTTCGGTTTATTTCAAGACGCCTGGTTGACCAGCCCTCGGGTATGGTGTTTGCCGGCCCAGCGCCCGCGCCGGGGTCTGCCGGTGTCGGCGCGCCGGGAGGGCAGTGGCCTTGGTCAGAGATGGGACTCATATGACCGGAGTGTTAATTTTTATTTTTAAGTCTTGCCTGGCCGGGAAACCCCGTCCGCATCCACACTGATCCGAGGTCCCAGACGAAACGCTTCTGAAATTAAGTCGTGACCAAAAATGACTCTCATTCCCTGATTAAGGTGCCACAGCTAATAGTTCTATGAGCCGCTCCATCCAGCCGGCTTTATTTTCTTTCGAGATTTCCTTTTTCGGTGTTAAAAAGTTAAAATAAAAAGTAAGCCTGAGTTAGAGACTAGGAGAGAAGGTAGCTGTGTAAAGATTGAGGCGCGACTCCTTACGAGCCGGATTATGCCCTAAAAAATAATACGTATATATCTATAATTCACCACTTGGGAACTATTCGGTTATTTCAGGTTGTCGGTTTCCTGCTTAGGGAATACCAAGAAGATAAGGGACGACTGAGTTTTTTACAGAATAGGGGGGAATGTAGCGTTGATCCAGTGAGGAGGACATGCTAAATGTTTTGCTGATGACTATGCCAGGGACACGGCTGCCTCCCCACCCACAGGCTCCTTAGCACCACTTCACCAAGGGAGTGATTTCCCCCTAGGTAATTAAAGATCTGTTTTAGATAGGGATATGAATAGGAACATTTCATTATCGTATTAGGCAATTACAGAATCTGCCGATTAAAATCAACTTTTAGATCAAATGTTGAAGGTGAAATTGTTTTGTTTCAATAGATAGTAGATTGTGCTCAAAAGATTGTATTTTTAAAATTTCCTCTGGTAAACAAGAAAAAAAACACTGAAATAGCCAAAGAATATTTTATATTAGATACCTTGGAAGTATCTAAGCAAGAGACAAAAACAGAAACCTTTGCAGTATTTTTCAGGTTTGCATAGGCTTTTTAAGTAAAAAATACATTTTAAAGTGTTTATGACAAACAGAATTGAGGTAGTTTGGCACTATTTCAATACTGTACTTTAATGGCAAACTTAACTGTAATGGGCAGGGAATCCTGCTTGTCGGGTGTGATACTTGGTTATTGCATCAGAAAGGAATATTTTTTTGTTTGTTTGCTTTCTTGTTTTGCGTCTTTCACTTTTTGTCTAGAGTGGCTGGGGGAGCAATTTTACCAAATACATGTTATACAGGGTTTCGTAAGGTTTTGGTCAACCAATTATTACACAATTGACCGTATAAACCTGGTATGTTTACAAGCAACACTTAGGAGTTAGCTCTAGTACTTTACACAAGGATTGCTGGGAATTTTTAGTAAGCGCCGATTGATTGTCCCTCCTGAGAGATGAATCAAGTGGATTATGTATCGTTGTGTCTCTTCTTTTTTAGACAAGATGTGAAATGGAGAAGTATCTGACACCTCAGCTTCCTCCAGTTCCTATAATTCCAGAGCATAAAAAGTATAGACGAGACAGTGCCTCAGTGGTAGACCAGTTCTTCACTGACAGTGAAGGGTTACCTTACAGTATCAACATGAACGTCTTCCTCCCTGACATCACTCACCTGAGAACTGGCCTCTACAAATCCCAGAGACCGTGTGTAACACACATCAAGACAGAACCTGTTACCATTTTCAGCCACCAGAGTGAAACGACTGCCCCTCCTCCGGCCCCGACCCAGGCCCTTCCCGAATTCACCAGTATATTCAGCTCACACCAGACCGCAGCTCCAGAGGTGAACAATATTTTCATCAAACAAGAACTTCCTACACCAGATCTTCATCTTTCTGTCCCTCCCCAGCAGGGCCACCTGTACCAGCTACTGAATACACCGGATCTAGACATGCCCACTTCTGCAAACCAGACAGCAGTGATGGACACTCTTAACGTCTCTATGTCAGCTGCCATGGCAGGCCTTAACACACACACCTCTGCTGTTCCGCAGACTGCAATGAAACAATTCCAAGGCATGCCCCCTTGCACATACACAATGCCAAGTCAGTTTCTGCCACAACAGGCCACTTACTTTCCCCCGTCACCACCAAGCTCAGAGCCTGGAAGTCCCGATAGACAAGCAGAGATGCTCCAGAATTTAACCCCACCGCCATCCTATGCTGCTACAATTGCTTCTAAGCTGGCAATTCACAATCCAAATTTACCTGCCACGCTGCCAGTCAATTCACAAAACATCCAACCTGTCAGATACAATAGAAGGAGCAACCCCGATTTGGAGAAACGACGCATCCACTACTGTGATTACCCTGGTATGTGATCTTAACCTGGTAGAAACATCAATAGTTATAATTAGTGTTTGTGTGTGTACCTTTTTTCAGCTTCAGGCTTTAAATATATATTGGAAAGTTGTGCTTGACAGTTAAAAAAAAAATCACCCACTTTGTTTTTATCATTTCCCGCCTCTGTGCTTTACCCTGATATGTAAACCGGTTAGTTGTCCATTATTTATTTCATTTATCAAAAACTTGGCTAGACTATTCTGGAAAAAGCTGCCTTGGATTTTTTTCTTTTTATTATTAAATAAGATTTGAATTTCCAATACGTCATTCAGAGTTATATAGGGCTGGGCACAGTGGCTCAAGTCTGTAACTCTAGCACTTTGGGAGGCTAAGGCGAGAGGACTGCCTGAGCTCAGGGGTTCAAGACCAGCCTAGGCAACTTGGTGAGACCTTGTCTCTACAATTAATAAAAAAAAATAAGCTGGGCGTGATAGTGTGTGCCTATAGTTCCAGCTACATGGAAGGCTGAGAGCCCAGCAGGTTGAGGCTACGGTGGCCGTGAGTGTGCCACTGCACTCCAGCCTGGGTGACAGAGGAAGACCCCAACTCAAAAAAAAAAAAATGACAGTGTAATAAATTAAAGTTTTTAATTCTAAATTAAGTGCCCTGGAAAGAGATTAAGTTGGGTTGATGAAGTGGAAGTGTAGTAGGTAGCTAGTCAGATGGTGGGTGCAGGACTCTGCAGGGTGGACCTCAGGATGGCTCTGATCCATATGAGCCTGTGCCGTGCTCGAGTGAGATACACAGCCCAAAATGTGAACTGATGACAATATGGAACAGATCTACAAGCTGCTGGCGAAAGCTAGTTTATGATTAATACAGGGCACAATTTACTGACTGTGGTACATGATATGGCATGACATGCTAAATGAAAAACAAGCAGTGTGGGAGTACAGAAAATTACAGTCATCTTGGATAATGGCTTAGCATTGTCAGCTCTAAAGCCATTAAAAAAGTTTTAAAAACATATACCGTAGTAGCTCTTAAATCACTGAAGTCAAGCTCCTACTTGGAATAGAAACACAAATTCTCCATTTGTAGCCTGGCTTGATTATCTGTTCTCTCCTATTAAAGTGATACATAAGTCACTTCATGCCTCTAATAAGGTAATGGGGGAGGGCCCTTTAAAACTTTTCACACTGAAGCTTCAGGTAATCTCATCTCCCATGAACGATTTCTTCTTTAAAGCCAGATTTTAAACACTGAATCATCAAATGTAAAGATTTCAAAAGGATCTCCAAATGACAAGCTGTTCTTCCTCTCCTTTATTTTAGGCTGCACAAAAGTTTATACAAAGTCTTCTCATTTAAAAGCTCACCTGAGGACTCATACTGGTATGTAATTTTCTTGTTAATTCTGTGAGTTGTGTAAATAGTGTAAGTGGTGTTCATCCTTTTAAAAGCCAGCACGTGTTTGATCTCTTTTTTCTTCTGTCAACTTTTATTTTTTTAATGGCCTTCCTTTTCAGCACGGGCTTGACTCAGAATTCAGTTCCATGAGAAAGTCTGGTTTCAGGAAAGTTGCTGATATTCCCTCTCTAAGGCCTTGTCCTTTCACCTCACATAGAATTAATCACACAAAAACGTAAACGTCAATATTTGGTAATAGGTTTTAAAACTTCATGGCACTGCTATTCCTATCTGGAAGTAAAAAAATATTACTCATTTTCTCCCTCCATAGCAAATCATCCCTATTTAGCATGTATAGCATAATTGCTTAATATGCTATCTTCAAAAAAGCTATCTTCAGTTTCACCTTTGACTTAAAAGTATCTGTGTTTGGTATGTTTTCTGTGCTTGATAAAAGCTAGACGTGAAATTGCAAATTATTAAATAGGTTGGTCAAAATGGGGTTACAGCTATTGGCACACCCCACCCCAGCCCACAGTTGATATGTTTGAGAGACTTCATCTTTATTCTAGGTGCATCTCATTCTTGTTTAAATGTGCTTTTAAGTTTAACCCCTTTAATTTGATAAGTATATTTTGTAAAATATGTAGCAGTCACTTTTAAGAACTTTTAAAATTTTTTTATTTTCCTTTTTTAAGGCAGAATCTCACTGTTGTCCAGGCTGGAGTGCAGTGGCACAATCACAGCTCACCACAGCCTGGCCCTCCTAGGCTCAGGTGATTCTTCTGCCTCAGCCTCCCAAGTAGCTGGGACTACAGGCACATGCCACCATACCTGGTTAATTTTTTAAAAAATTATTTTGGAGAGATGAGGTCTCACTATATAACCTAGGCTGGTCTTGAGTTCCTGGGCTCAAACTACCTTCCCACTTCAGCCTCCTAAAGTGTTGAGATTTTAGCCATTAGCCACCATGCCTGGCTCAGAGTTTGCTAATTTTAAAACTTTATATTAAAACCTGGGCGTTTTTTGCGTGTTTTTGTTTTTTTTTGTTTATTTTGAGTCAGAGTTTCACTCTGACTCCCAGGCTGGAGTGCAGTGCTACGCTCATGGCCACCACAGCCTCGCCCTACTGGGCTCAGGTGCTCCTTCTGCCTCAGCCTTCCAAGTAACTGGAACCAGAGGTGTGTGCCACCACCCCCAGCTAATTTTTTTGATTTACTGTAGAGACGAGGTCTTGTCATGTTGCCCACCCCTGGGCTCAGGCAATCCTCTTACCTCTGCCTCCCAAAGTGCTGAGATTACAGGCATAAACCACCATGTCTGGCCTAAAACCTGTTTTAAGAAGAAACTAGCATACTTTTTTTTTTTTTGAGTCGAAGTCTCGCTCTGTCGCCCAGACTGGAGTGCATTGGCATGCTCACGGGCCACTGCAGTCTTGACCTGCTAGGCTCAGGCAATCCTTCCATTTCAGCCTTCCAAGTAGTGGGAACTACAGGCACACGCCACCATGCCCGGCTAATTTTTATTTTATGTATTGTAAAGATGAGGTTTCTCTATGTTGTCCAGGCTGGTCTCGAACCCTTGGGCTCAGGCAGTCCTCGCCTCTGGGATTATAGGCGCCAGCCACCACCTCATGCTTAGGAGGCATACTTTAAAGGTCCCCCATATACCCTAAATACTTTCAAGTATGTAGATGTTTACTACATGTGATTTTTCTTAGGCGAATCGCCCTAAAGGAAACAACTTATGTAAAGTGATTGTGGTTTTTCTTCAGTAAATACACAGCCTTACCTACAGTTCAAAAATAAGTTTGCTAATAAAAGCAATGACCTAGCAAAATGTATTATTCCATCATTGCTATGGAAACCAAAGTATTCAACAGTTCGTTTGAATGGGTTGTTGGATTAGTGTGAGGACTTGAATCTCCCCAGGCTAGATGTTACTATGGAAATTGAGTTTTGATAAATGAAGTAGTTATCTCTAACTGCTGCATTAAAAAGTAAAAGCCTTTGAACAAAGGTCAGTGCTGAGAGAGAGGCCTGTGAGGAATATGGTTGCAGACATTTTGTATGCATGTTAGGCAGGATTGCTTGATATCCAGTGATAAACACTATTAAAATCCCAGTAGTGTTGGCGACAGTATGGTAGATTCCAGGGCTTTTTGAGAAACTGCTTTTAAAGAAAAGACATGTATTTATCTGTGGAATAAACGGGTAATTTTGGCTGAGCTTTTTAGATATAGACGAATTGATTATATAAAACGAAAGATCCCACATAAGCAGCCCAAGGTAGACATTTATACTTAAACACCTACAAATGAATGACGCATATAATAAAAACTTCAACATAAAGTTTTCAAAATACAAATGACAAGTGCCGGGAAAATATTTCATATTGCAATACTGAAATCCTTTTACTGAAATATAAGTGAAAATAATTCAGAAACATTTGAACTTTTGCTTTTTTCTGTTTTGAAAGCCCTTGAAAGAAGAGATAAGAAGGAAGGAACACATTTTCATGGGGTTAAAGTCTCCTAATAAGAGTGCAACGATGTAATCAACTGCTTATTGCAGGGTTATAGCCAAACCATATCTAAATAGCCTTTCAACCCTTGTCAGAGTTAGTGCCCTGAATGCTTATACCAGTGACTTAGGAACTTGACCTGCTGGCAAAGAAATTTAATAGTGGGTTGTCTTTAACAATGCTTTACTAATAAAAACAAACTAAAAAGAGGACCTAGGTCTAGTTTGAGTCCCATGCATCAACTTTTCACTTGATCCTAACATTGTAGTCTTCAACATTTAATGAGTGAGCATGTGATCCAGTTTAATAAAGTTTTGTTTGATAGTCTTTCCAAGTGCCTTGAGGAGGGTTTGTAGCAGACCTGTTGATCTGGCTAAACCCGTTCTTGGGTAATCATAGAGCATTGAGGTTGCTTTCTCTTCCTTTCTAGTCTGTAGACAATGGCTGTTAAAATTACCCGAGCATCTTCCCCCGCCCTGACTGTTTTTAAATTCACATATCTGAAGCCAGCAGAGGCTTGTGTTTTGCTTTTTGTTTTTAGTCTCCCTTTTAAGACCCAGGTAGATTAAGCAGTTTTTCTAAATAACTTTCATTTAATGGCTTTTTTTGTTTTCTTTCTGTCTTTCCCCACTTGGGCAATTTATTAGGGATTTAAGAAACTATATGGCAATGTTAATCTTTTGTTTGATGATGTAAATTAAATTATTCTTTATTTAAATGATTACTGTTTTGAAGGCAGAATGTGAAGCACCCTAGCATTTCTTTGGAAAATAATTGTAATTGCTTTAAAATGTCAAGTTACCTTATGCTTTAAAAGTAATTTAAGCAACCAAGACAGCTACATCTGAGTTTAATTACTTATTCTGCATTTTTAGATTGTAAATGCTGCTTTAACTTGGGTTGCAAATTGAATCTAAGCAAATAGTCTTTCCAGAAGAACCTTTTAAAAAAATCTGAGATCAAAGAGTAGAAGATATATCAGTTTCTTAAGCCAGAAAGTATCATAGCATTCAAGTTTTCTACACTTTGATTTCTTTATTGGGAAATCATATATAAATAGAACAAAGCCCTATGTTTGTGTGATTAGAATACCTGAAACTTAATTTGCTTCCATTCTAGGGAATAATTATATTTTATGTGCATCTGTATATAAGATAGTATTTTTACAGGCCTCTCTAGAGGCACCCTTATTGGTGTATGAGTGTTTGCATGTATTATTTGTAATACCTGTGTGTATGCATATTTGTCTTGCCTCTGGTTAGGAATACTTGTGGCTGCTTCTAGGTAACAATGTCAATGATATTTCCAAATCAAAATACATGTACTATTAAAAGCATTTAAATGAACATTCTACAGAAATTTGTATATGCCTTATGTACACTAGGGTCTGAACTTGTAGCCATTTTTCAAAAGTTGCTCACAGGTACCTTTTTTTTTTCTTTTTGAGTTGGAGTCTCACTCTTCCATCTCAGCCTTCCAAGTAGCTGGAACTGCAGGCGTGCGCTACCATGCCTGGCTAATTTTTTGGTTTATTGTAGAGATGAGGTCTCGCCAAGTTGCCCTGGTGGTTCTCGAACCCGCGGGCTCAGGCAGTCCACTCACCTCAGCCTCCCAAAGTGTGGGATTACAGGTTGAGCCACCGAGCCTGGTTACAAGTACCTTAAAAAAAAATCATATATCACTTTGTCTTTATAAATCAGAATGACTGATAAACTATCTACTGCAACCGGCATTATGTGCTCATATACCTTACTTGAATTTCATAATGAAGATTTAAAATAATTTCAAAGTTACAGGTTTGGGGCCAAAGTAAGTTAAAATCAATAGAAAAAACTCTGGCAATAACTTGTAGGATGAGATTCTTTGTAGCAAGGATTCTTTGAATCATATTTGAAAGCTATGCAGGAGAAAGTCACATTTTACCTTAGTGTTAGATGTTACTAATTAAATATTCCTTAAATTATTTTCAATATATTTCATTTTGAAATCTATTTTCTGTATTGACAATTTCAGGCTATGTTTAAAAAAAAAAGTAGTGGCTTAAGAGTCACTGGTTCAAGCTGGGCTCGGTAGCTCAGCCTGTAATCCCGCACCTTTGGGAGGCTGAGGTGAGTGGATTGCCTGAGCCCGCGGGTTTGTCTGGGCAGCTAGACCTCATCTCTACAGTAAATCAAAAAATCAGCCGGGCGTGGTAGCGCATGCCTGTAGTTCCAGCTACTTGGAAGGCTGAGGCGGAAGGATCGCTGGAGCCCAGCAGGTCGAGGCTGCGGTGGCCGGGAGCGGCCACTGCACTCCAGTCTGGGCGACAGTGTGAGACTCCAACTCAAAAAAAAAAAAGTCACTGGTTCAGACCCCAAGAAAGGTATTTATGAGCATGAAAGCTTAGAAACAATTTCTTTTTAATGACTCACTGGGAAGATTAAACTTTGCTTCTAGGACTTGTTCTTTCATCTGAAAAACAT